TGTTCCTCAAGCCCTTTGTTGGGAGTTCCACTCCCGCTCTCGACTTTTCAAATCGGAGCTTTTGGTCCAAATGTGTTACACTCATTTGACTTTCGCTTCAGCCACTACCACGTGGCACCCTTCCGGCTCCACTTTGGGGCCTAGGGATTTTGTGTCTCACAACTCCACCATCCATAGACGAAGTTCGATGTCCTCATCGAACGGTAAACCATTTTTATAAAGTAACACCAACATGTATTACCTTTTCCATCTTTAGCACCTAGCCAATATTCGTCAATGGTATGACACTGAAAGCTCACCATGCCTTCTCCATCCTCTAAGGCGCATAGCCTCTCTGACATAGAGACTCGATCGACCACCTATGGTGGTTCTTTCCTTTTCATTAGTTTAGTTCTTGCTAAACCTGTTAAAGGCACCTCCTCTATTTCAATCCCATTACTCACTCCTGAGTAGCCTCAGTTCCCATTGATATAAACTTGCATTCTGGAACTTTTAAATTTGACTTGTTAGAGTCAATTTATTGCACATATTGTGCAACTCCACTTCCCCATCTTTGGAAGTTCTCTATTTGAGGGCGCCATCATCCTCTTTCCCATTTTGTGCAACCTTTTGGCACTAAGTTCCAGTTATCCTATTTCGTGCTAGGATTGTCCACGTCCCTATCATTTGGCTAGTTTACCGCTCCCTGTCATTAGAGCATCTGCCACGATGTTGCTCTTCCTAGGCTTGTACAGAATCTCGCAATCAAACTCGACCAAAGCATTGGCCCACTGACCCTATTTCCCCCTGTGACAAGAAGTGTTTCATTGCCACATTGTCCATGTAAACCTTGAAGTGTCTCCCAAGGTCGGAGCTTCCACTTTCGTCAAATCAAAGCAATTGAGAATCCATCCTTGGAAACACATTGTCTTTCCCACAATTCGTTAGCACCCAACACATTAGTGTTTTTGGCCTAACTTTGTGTTTTGGATTCTTTCCTATGATTCCCATGGCTCTTTTCTTAGCCACTAGTCGTTTGCTCCTATCCTTGATTGTTACACCTAACAACATAGAATCATTACCTCCACTCTCAAGGTATCCTTTCAATTCCATAGCAAAGACTTTGCTTTGCCAAGTCCAGAAGGTGTTCACCCTTAATACGTCCCTTTAGCATCTTCTGATGTGGGCTCTATTCACGGCCCAACTTTGAGACCCTCCCATGGGTCCCTTGTAGGGATTACTTTCTTTGGACTCACTATGCTATCGCATAGTCACAAATCATTTCCCTTAGGTGTTCTTCCCACTTGGTCACCTTGACTAAGCCACACCATCATCAATAGTTCAAACCAACACTTTGAACTAGGAACTTTATCCCTTAACCTCACAAGGACTTTATCCTTGTTTTAGCCATAAGATCACCTAGTGATCACACCTAGGCACCTTAATAGGTTTGCCAATAGGTATTAAGTCTTCCAAACCTTTAAGTTGTTCACCATGATCCCCCACACTTGGTGGTGCACCCAAGCCAGCCCTTCCAGCTAAGGGTCTATAGCAATTGAGACTGGGTGTCCCCATTTCATTCACCTCGTCTTTGGTGCCATTTGCATCAAGTGTTCAAATTAGATATGCCGAGCCACACTAAGCAATCTAACTGTGCATCATAACTTCAAGGTATCCCTCGCTTGGCAGTGTGCCCAAACCAGTCTCCTCACTGAGAGTCCATGACCACCGAAAAATGAGTGTCCTCATATTCCAAACTATCACCACGCCCTAGTGATTTGGAACTTGAACTCAAACACTAAAGGGTTGGGACTCAAACCTAACCTCCATATATGCATCTACAGATAGCATCGCACAGGATGCCTAGTGTGACTCCCCACGCCGGTGCACTAACATATACTTAAAGCACGCTATAGATCACAGCTTAGGAACCTAGTTCCTTCACGCTGCCAAATCCACTCATTTGGCAAATCTATGATCATGCATGGACTCCTCCATGCTCGGCCCCATGGGCCACCCCTTTTGAAGTTAGCACCTTCGACTAAGGGATTTGTTCCCTTGACTTGCCATTCTCGCTTAGCAAGTCATCCGGCCACCATAACATAGTTCATGCATAAGTGTGAAAGTTCTTAACCATCGACTTTCGTTCAAGCCCTCTCTTTTAACACTCAGGAACTACTTCCCCAACCTTAATAACCTTGCCTCATGGCCAGCTTCAAGACCACGCTTCTGCTATGCCACTTTGATTTCGCGCGCTCTAAGATCCATTTACACTTGGCTTTCTAGGTACTTATCTACCTAGAATTGTCTTTAGGAACCTTCAAGGAACTTTGTTCCTTAGTTTGTTAAGGCTTCTCCTTTGCAAACTCCCTATTCACCATATGGTTTAATATGGATAATTCCACATTTTAGACTCTCCATGACATCGTGGTCGTTAATAATAATTTGCTCAAGCACCCACTTGATTCTCCACTCCCAACTCGCATAACCACCCTTGGTTATGCCCTTCAATTCCTATAGTTCAGTTCTATCCCTTTACTACTTTGCTTTTTGGCCTTATATGTTTCCTTCGGTTATTCTCCTCCAGCCTAGGAGGATAGCTTTGCACCTTCTACTATGCCTTAGCAAGTATTCATAAAAATGAACTTACCCGATAGCTTAGGGAGCGGTTCCTCAATCTGGGCATGCTCACTTTATAATCCCATACACCGAGATTAATGTTGCTACTTATAGGCCTCTATATGCCCATCACTAGCCTTGCCAAAATCTTATTTTCGGTTTTGTCCAAATCAGGTAGATGGATTTCTCCCATCTCCAGAACTTTGGACGTTTGGATATTACCTTTTATCCATCATTTGCTAGGGTCTTATTCCCTTGGGCCTTATTTATTGCCCTCGCAACACTAAACACCACCTCTTGGCATTCTAGAGTATTTGGGTGTTCCAATGATGGCTTCTTTGACAATGAACATTTCCTTTTACGACATTGACTTACTATATTGCAACATAAGCAACTTATCCCCGATAAGGGTATGTTTAACTTCTTTATGCCATTAGAAGTCTTGGATAGTTACCTTCTACTCGTTTAACCAATTACCTGCACCTCTTGCTTAGTTGCTTCATAGTTGTCAAGTCCTACAACTCATTGCTGGTGCTTCCACACCTCCATCATTATCTGGGTCACCACACTCTACCACATGCCTTCCAACTTAGGCTATGCCATTTCTATTTCCATTGGGATTCCCTTGGCAAGGGGTTCTCATGAACCCATCAACATAATCTCAAGGTATCACACCTTGGCCCATTTGGTGTCTCCACACCATCGGCTCCATAAATCTACTTTTGTGACACTTTACACTTGTGTCTAGGTCTTTGCCAAAGCCAACCCAGTCGTTTCTCATACTAACTATCTGTTAGCACTACACCATAGTGTTCGCACACAACTCTGCACCAAAGTTGCTTCTTCTAGGAATACCTTTTCCAAGACTTTAGTATGACACATTCTGCCACCCATGAAATACCCACTGTTCTCATACTTGGATTTTATGATCCTCCCCATCCTTCGTGAAGCACAACACACCTCAGTCCAAATGCTTTTATCAGTCCTTTAAGACTATTCCTTGACTCCACTTAAGTCATTCAGCCTTTTGGACTTTTCTTAATCCCTCAACCTATAAGGTTTTACTTTTGAGATGCTAGTTCATTGGAATACAACTTCTTGTATTCATGTCCTACTCACCAGGACCACCATTATAAGTGTTCTTCCAACACTTAACTATTTTTCGATAATTGTGTGCTACCTTCGCCCGTTAAGATTATCCATCTATATGATGGGAATATCGATTCATCCTCTAAGCACACCCCCAACTCCTAGGGTTGTTCTAGCATTTATTCAAGGTAGCCCGACTACCATTCCAAGGACTTATATCCTCATCCATATTTGACCTCCCACAGTCATTAATTTTGGTTTCAAATTCATAAGCATCAGCCTTGACTTCATGAGGGTAATTTTGTGACTCCTTTATCGTTTTAGAGTCTTTATCTTCTCTGTGATCCTAACAATAATTGTTTACCACAACTACATTAACCAATTTGCTGAATCAAATGCTCATCTGAATCACATCCTAAACTCAATGAGGAAAATCTTGCACTATTCCCAAGATCCCAAAGTCATTCCATTATTGGCCCTTTTCTATCCACCACCTCATTTACAAGTTCATACATGAACTATAATGGAAAGCCATGTCTTCCCGACCTGCTACTCCTTGAGGATAGGCCCACTCTTCGGACTTTCCGATGCCAACACCAATGGTGATATACTTGAGCACCAATAAAAGTCGGATTAAGGAATAGCTCCGATACCAAATTGTAAGTGACTAATTTTTCCATGAATTGTGTTGTACTTTCTACTTAGTTGTTTCATAGTTCATAAGTTTTACAACTCATTACCAATACTTCCACCCCTCCATCATTATTTGGGTCATCACACTTTAACTACATGTCTTTCAGCTTAAATTATGCTATTGCCATTCCCATTTTCATTCCCATTTTCATAGAATTCTTTTGGCAAAAAGATACCAAAGAATGTCACTTTATATATTGTTGACAATTAACTAATATATCATACATCTGGATTTAGAGTTTGCTGAAGTTGGTCTTATAAAGTTGACAACCCCATTCGAAATATTCCATAATATCATTTTTATTCTGAAACTTCAGGATGTTGGTGGTTACACACACACGAAAAAGAAATCCAGTTTCACATACATTCATACTCACTGCTTGGCATAGAGAAGCAGGATCTCAGGATTCAGTGCTTGCTTGGGGACCTCGGGATTCATTGCTGTCGGGATTCACTGCTTGCTTGGGAACCTTGGGATTCAGTGCTGGCTTGGCATAGATAAACAGGCTTTCGGGTTTCACTGCTTGCTTGGCATAGAGTAAGGGGGCTTCGGGATTCCCTGTTTGCTTGGCATAGAATAAGGGTAAGGGGGCTTCGGGATTCCCTGTTTGCTTGGCATAGAATAAGGGGGCTTCGGGATTCACTGCTTGCTTGGGGTGGGATTCATTGCTGGCTTGGCATAAAAAAACAGGCTTTCGGGATTCACTGCTTGCTTGGGACCTTGGGATTCATTGCTGTCTTGCATAAAAAACAGGCTTTCGGGATTCACTGCTTGCTTGGCATAGAGTAAAGGGGCTTCGGGATTCACTGCTTGCTTGGCATAGAATAACGGGGCTTCGGGATTGATTGATTGCTTGAGTTCTGGAGTTGTGTTCTCTTCTTTAGCCTTCGTTTCTGTAACCTCCTTCAGAATAGATGTTGGGTTCGTTTTTGATTGTTCAACAGCATCTATTTCGGTTCGGAGAGCTAAAGTCGCCTGAAAAACGAAATAGACAATGTCAAGAGCATCTAGAGCAACTGTAAAACTTACAGTGAAGAACAACACTAGAACGAATGAAATTGCATGAGTGTTTTGTATATTACAATATGAAGCCACTTTCTTAAATAGTGTTGGAGGTGCCAGAAAGCGCAAAGACCAGAGTAAAATATCATGTGAAAAGTCAATTCATAGCCAACTTTAGGTTTGCATATGTTTACTGAACTACAAAGAAACTTCTAATTTTATTTTTCTTTTGGAAAAGAGTAAAACTGTTCATTGATAAATGAAGTTCAATTTTGTCGTGAAGTTCTATCAAAAGACAATATTTCTGCGAGCCTGGCCCACTGTATCAGAATAAATAATAGCACACTATAATGACCACATGTTGAATAATGACACACCAACTAACATTGGATCATGGTGCCCACTTGACATATGAACAAGTCACCTAGTAGTGGACAAAATAAAGCATCTAGCTCAGAGTCATTATAAAATATATAAATAGATTGGTTACCTTGGCTTTAGGTTTAAAGGTATTGCATCAATCATACACCTCTAGAATGCTTCAGATGACATTTTCTAGATATGTATGGTTTCTGACATGATTCTGCACGTGATGAGTTGACAATCGATCTCCAAGAATAATAAAATAAACCTAAACTGACGGGAAAAACCCTAACGTTAGGGTTTCTCGCTTGCATCCGCACTTATGGAGGACCAGTTTGGTAAGTTCCCTGTTGTTGTGGTGCCAAATCCAAACGAACGAGAATTGCCGCTGGATGACTTGATATCCAAGGTCCAGGAGCACAAAGCCTGGATCCATGACAAGCTCGCTCGCAATGGAGCATTGCTCTTAAGAGGATTTCCGGTGAAAGACGCAGCGGATTTTGATCAAGTTATCAAAGCTCTGGACTACAAGACCTTGCATAATCACTTTGGGAGCCAAGACCGGAAACACGTCAAAGGCTCGGTTTACACAGCAAATGACGACCTCCCTCTCGAGATTCCAATCGGCTTCCACAACGAAATTACTTATGTAAGCTTGGACAGTAGAGAAATTTGTCAGTCGTGAAGCTTTCCTTGCAGATGCCCGTCATTCCCGACGTGCTTGTTTTCTACTGCGAGGTTGCACCGCCCCAAGGATGTGGTGGCGCAACGGGCATTGTGAGAGGGGATGCTGTCTACGAGGACTTGTCCAAAAAATTCCCTAGCTTTCTTCAAGATTTGGAGGACAAGGGAGCGATATATTGCTTCACCGTGCCAGCATCGGAGCAACCAAAATATGGCAGGTACCACACCACATTCTTCTTCAATGGATAGTTATATGAGATTTCTTTCCTTCAGCAATATGAATGGGTACAAGAGAAAGCAGCTTGAGAATGGACTCGTGAAGCTCTACCTTGGGCCTTGCCCAGCAATCAAGCAGCTTCCAAGCGGCAAGAAGGCATGGTTTAATGCGATTGGATCAAGCTACGTCCGTGATTCTAGCGAGCCATATGTTGAGTTTGGAGACGAGACAGCCATGCCCACGGATGCTATCAAAGCCGCCTGTGAAATCATGCAGGAGAAACAATTTGCTGTGCAGTGGGAGCAAGGGGACGTGCTCATACTGGAAAATTCTCATGTGCTCCATTCTAGACATTCCACTTCCAAGCTCGAGCCTACTCGCAAAATCCTTGTGTCCATGCTCAAGTATTGATTGTATTGTTTACCGAATCTCTATTTCTCTTGTTAACAAGCTGTTAAACGAAACTCTGCTTTATTAAACTACATTTATTTTGAAATTGAATAAATGAACGGGCGTAGGCAAAAGCCTTTATCATTTCCATGTCTATTGGCGGTCACGTTTTGCTACATGTCTTGCTTGCGATTTCTCTCGTGTATCATGTGGTCAGCTTCAAGAGCCTCTTAGTCATGAGCTCTCGCTCATTCTCAACTCTTACTTTTGTTTTCGACGCAGGGGTGTCTCCTTCCTGGCTCAATACTGGAGAGGCTGTCGCCCTTGGATGATGCCTCCAAAATGCGCATCAAGCGGGAAATCCATGCTTCCGGCACCATGCCACTCGAGTCGTGCAAAAAAAGCCGGCTTCCTGTGTGCCACCACATTGATCATCACCGCCAGCATCATCACCTTGCCAGGAATGGAATCTAACCTTGGAATTTGATCCCCCAAACTTTTCTTCCAGATGAACACGCTTGTCGGCTGCCACCGCCTCTCCTCTGAGACAACTCAATTCCTCCCAGTATGTTCACGCATTCACTCCTTGAGCCAGTTCTTGGAACCATGGGTTTCTCCCGACTGCTGCCAACGATGCAAATCCTGATGCAGTCTTCTGTATCAAAGGCAATGTGGGACAGCTTGAGCATGTGTTCTATGGATGCCAGCATCAAGGACGAGATCAAGGCGTGCCATGTCTCCGTGAAGACTATCCTGGAGCAAGCGTCTTCGATAGTCAGCAGGCCCGATTTGAAGCATGTCATAAACACTGTGAGCGATGTGGAGGGGGAATTTGAGGTGGTAGAAAAGGCTATGGTTGCTACAAATGGGACTCTAGCTTGTCATCCCATGACATTTCCATATGCACTCTACATGTGCCATACAATTCGCTTATGGTGACACTGAAACCATATTCACAATCTTGCAGCAAGCTTGTGGAGGTTCCTGCAGTTTGTCACTTGCACACCTCAGGCTTTGACCCATCCCACATTTCATTCAAAGTGCTACACATGAAGCTTGGTGTGGGAGAAGTCTGCCACTGGCTCTTAGAGTGTCACTTTGTTTGGTATTAACATCTCAAATCAAATGTCTCAAATAAGAAAATATTAAAGATTATATACTATTTTGAAAGTTTTGCAGTGCTCACCCTGAAGCATGAGAGGGATGCATATATTGTTAATATTTGGAGCTAAATAAAAAATATAAAGAGGTTTAACCTTGTTTGGGTAACATTTTGAAATTCTTTACCACTTAAACACCCCCAAGTTACCTCAAAAGCTCTACCATGCCTTAATCTTACCTATTGACCATGTAAAAATTCTTCCCCCAAAAAAGTCTTTATCCTAAAGATAAATTGTATTGATGATCACCTTTTTTAGGGAACTTTACTCAAATTCATGATCCATCATCCATAACTATATACATCTAGAAGGTCCTTTCATTCCAAAATAATACACACTTCAACTGACTAATATACAATGTTAGATGAATTTTCACTTTAGATAGTAGCCACACTTGATAATGCACTCCAACACTTTTTATGGACCAATATATTTGTGAAAAAGTTTATCACTTATCCCACTTTACAAAAACACTAAAATGTTTATCACTCATTTGATGGAAAGTTATTTGCACAAAAATGAGATTTCCCACCTTATATTCCCAAAATTAATAATGCTTATTAGCAAGCTTTTATACCTACTTGCAAATTTTACTTACATACCATAGTGGCCAAATCAACCACATCTGAATCAAGTTTGTTTAGAAGATCAATGTAATTTTCTTTTTGGCGAATGCTACAATGTAATATATCCTCCACCTCATTTACATGCTTGATCTACATATTTGTCTCTCCACTTAAGAGCTTTAAAGTCCTTTATATATGCTTTGCAAATATATCGCACATGGTTTTCACTTTTTATATGGTGTTTTACAATAGGATAATTACAAAGCAAAACTGTAACCCTTATGTAAGCAGCCAAAGGGAACGATTTGAGAGACGGTCCATGGGGTTCAAATATAGAGGGCAAGGGTTGGGGAAAGGAAATATAGACGGTCCATGAATAAAAGTGCACCCCCTTTTCCAATCGGTTAAAAGTCTTGGGATATTTGGGGTTAAATGTCCTTGGGTTTAAATAGTATTGGCTAGGTGACCTCCCGAGAAGTCTAAATTCAGGAGCTTACACTTTACCCACTTGGGCCAAAGGTAGTGGAGTAGAACCCAAGTTCAGAGCCTTAGGCCACCGTACAAAGGGATGGAGCTTGTTAGATCTATCAAGTGTCAAATGCAAAATTACACTCACATTCAGAGGCGGAATGACCATCTCATGGTTGTCAACTTGAACACCATCTTGAAAAATCTTTTGCAGAAAAAGCAACCACTCATAAAACTGGTAGAAAACCAAAGCATGAAACTACTCCCAAGCATATAGCTCAAGAAGCAAAAGGACAACAACATGGAGCGATTCACAAGCATACAACCCAAAAAGTGAAAGGACAAGAGCATGAGGTGGCATTGGAGCAATTCTAAAGCTTCCAACATCCTAATAGACGCTGCACATCTGACCATCATAGTCAAATTGTGATGGTTACATCAACAATTTGAAGTGATGTTGCCCTAGTACATGTCACCATCACTGTCATTTTTTTAACGGCGGCATTGTGACAATGAAATCAATTTGAATGCCATTTTTGTCCTAATTGTATGTGGCCTAAGTGTTCAGCAAACTCTTTTTGGATAAGTGGAAAAATGCTCGTCAAATACTGATCTCACGACGTAGCATTGGTAGCTCATGGCAATTGCAAAGGTAAACCCAGTTCCATTGGTAATATTAAATAATGACCATATAAAAGTTTATATGGTGAAGCACTAACAGAACCCTACACCCTTGTGATATATGCATACCGAAAAGACGGCAAATAACCATCCCAATCCGAATGCTAAAAGTTCACGTACTTCATGATCATTCCTTTGAATGTTCAAACGAGCCGTTCCGCCAAACTATCTGACTATGCATGATAAACACTCATGAAAGTGTGGTGTATCCCCAACCAAAACGTCAAAACATGAAATGCCTCAGCCATAAATGCAGGACCATTATCCGAAAGAATCCGCTCTAGAGAAGAATGTTGGAACACCACTTGATTGAGGAAGAAGTATCCAAAAATAATTGCATAGATGTTAGTAAAAGCACCAATTTCCACCCAACGAGTCAAATAGTTAGAAGCAGTAATAACTATTCACTGCTTGTAGTTGATCGTGGAAAAGGTTCTATAAGATCAAATGCCATTAACTCAAATGGACGGGAAACTGCAATTGACTCCAACCGTCATTTTGCAGAATGAGGGGGAGTATTACGAGCTTGGCACCAAACATAGTTACGCACATACCGGATAACATTATGTTGCATCTTTGGCCAATAAAAAGACTTGCACAGCTTCTCGGTCACATGACGATATCCCATATGCCTGCATAGAATAGGAGAATCATGGTAGGCATGAAGAAACTGTGGAATAAAAATGGAAGGCACCACTAGCCGTAAATGATCATCAAGATCTATCCTCATAAAATAAAGAAGGTCGTCTTCAAGGTAATATTAAGAATGCAAATGCTGGAATGGTAAATCATCAGCAAGTGATGCAAAATTCTTAGACCCATCTTGAAGCCTTTGAATCCATGGCTCAATCTTTTGAGCTTTGCAAGCCTCATCAAGAGAAGGTAGATCTTGCTCTGCGCCTTGTGGACACTGAATGTCAAGTATAACAACTGCCGACGGCACAAAATCCTCATTTAGAAAATCCATAAATACTGGAACAACAGGCTTGTCAAAAATATGAGAAGAGAGTGGAGAAGGAAGAGGAGCTCGAGAAAGGGCATCAACATCAACCATAGAAGTCCCTGGGCACAGAATCTTTATCTAGAAAATCCACAGATGCTAAAACAACAAACTCTTCAAAAACATGAGAAGAGAGTGAAGAAGGAAA